GGACTTCAACCAACCAAGGTCAAAACAACAAAGACCTTGAGGTACCAACATCTGATACAACTTCTACACCACCTCTCCTCCCTGAAGTCACGGATCAGGTTTTGGAAGACCAAACTTCAGGTCAAGTCAGTGCTCTAAGGGGTCAGAACCACACCATGTCCACCTTGTAGAACATCCCAACCACAGAGGTGAAGCCAGCCATTTGGAAAGAGTGAATGTTTTTAAAGAGATTTCTTTTAAAGCTGGTTTTGGCTGCAGGAAGCATTTAAAGGCTTAGTGAACTGTGTAACCAACCCTCATCTGGAAGAAGCCCTGCATAACAGATTCACTGTCTTCTTGTAAAGTGAAAAAGGTACAAACATCCATGTAAAAAGATTTATAATAATATGTTGGACTCGCTCAGGAGACACACATTTCTGTTTCCTAATGAACAAAAGAGATCCCTGCTTTTATTTCATCTTTAGTAACATGACCCCTCTCTTACAGTTAGCTACCCAAACTCTATTTCAAGGCTTTAATTTTACTTCTCTTGGCACACTGAACACCATTTTAAATGGGGAAAAAACAGCAGACATGTGAAATAAGAGCTCTGATTTAAAGATGTCAACAACTGCTGTTCAGTCTCAAGGCCCCAAAGTATTGTGGAAAAATGTTGGAACACTTTTTCCATCTAAAAGTAGTGAAGACGTCACTTAAAAACCTCTAAAATGTATTAAACAGATCTCCTTTTCCACATTAAGAAACAATCATATGATCAAAATGAATCTAGCTTTTTATTTTCCCAATAAATTAACATCCCACTCCTAAGTTTTGTACCAATTCAGGTACCAAGAAGCTATGTTCAAATGCCTGCAAGTATAATTTCAACAATTTTGTTACATCTGCTATAATGAAATTCAATGGAAATATAGTGTTTAATGTTCCAAATAACCAGGTTACGAACTCTCATTACAGATGCAATGTTCCTTGCTAACAGACACCCTGTTCTACATTAAAATTCCATCAGGAGAGACCCATAAAGACACAGCACTGTTCTTTTATTTTCAATTTAAGAAGTGAAGAGAGAACATCAAGCAGAGCTCTTCGTAAAAATCTTCCAGTCTACATGATGCAAGAGTTACTGGGTCTCTAAATTACCTTTAAGAACACATTCCGCACCATTGTGTGTCTCTGAAAGAATGTACAGACTTGAGTACTGCATAGGACATTTTGACCACCCTAGAAACCAATTAACAGTAAATTATCATCCCTTTTATGATACTGAAATACTCTAGTTAGTAAAGCAAAAGTAAACCAATAGATTCATTATCTCTATGGTGTGAATTTTTTCACACAGTAAATGTGCTTCTCTAAACTGGCTAATGTTTGATCAGTCTTAAAAGGATCCCAGAATATTCAGAGTTGGAAGGGATCCATGAGGATCATTGATCCAATCCCTGGACCAGCACAGACACCCCAACAATCCCACCTTGTGCCTGGGAGTGTTGTCCAAACATTTCTGGAGCTCTGGCAGCCTTGGGGCAGTGACCTTTCCCTGGGGAGCCTGGGCAGTGCCCAGCACCCACCTTCCTGATACCAACCTAAACATTCCCTGACACAGCTCCAGCCACTCCCTTGGCAATGGTAGAAAAAAGCCAAATTACCTCAGGGTGAATCTCAAAGCTAAATGAAACATCTGTCCCAAAACCACAGCTTTACTTTGCTTCAAGGAAAATGGAAGCGAAGGAAGCCCAGAAACAGCAATGTCTTTTCTCTGTAGAAATGCCACTGTCAAAGCTGGGGAACTGGCCTAGCTGGGCTCTGATCTGGGCCAGGACAGTTCTGTGTGTGCATTTCCCATGGAGCCCAGCCTCATCCTTCCTCATCCTGCCTAACTGCTGCTGGACAGAATCTTCCACATTTCCAGAAGTATTCACTGACTTTATCAGCCTGTGAACAGTTCATAAAGTTTCCCAACACACGATCTGGTCATTGCTCTGGAGTTCCTTGGAGCAGCACACGACTGCCTCTGCTCTGCAGTCACGTCTGATAAATATTCCCACAGTGGGGTGTCACAGGATAATACAGGATAATAATGGGAATAATAATAATACAGGATAAAAAGGGGAATCTCATTTGAACAGAGAGACAGATGGGCTGGAAGCTGAGGGCATCTTCACCCCTTGCCATGGCCCAGTAGCTGAACACTGTTTAATGAGCCCACAAAGCTCACATGAACCCTCCCATTTCAGGCCCTCACTAAAACCAGCAGCAGAGTTTGAGCTGTATTTCCTACAGGTCTGTCCTTCATTGATGCTTCTCTGTGGGAATCCAGAGGGCTACACCCAAAATCACCTATCCTGGTGATTAAAACCAGCAATTTTCACTTATTTGTATTCGGGAGTTCTATGGGTAATAAGGTTTATCTGGGCCATTGACTTCAAAGCTCTATATTCAGAAACTGCAATTGTTTCAGCTTGGGAAATGTTGTGCATTACAATTAATTTGAAGACCATATTAATGTCAAGAAAAAGGAATAATGTCTCTTCCCCAGACTGCAGCTTCCTTCGTAAACATTTCTTTCTTTTTTTTTTTTCCTACAAGAGCATAAATTATGCAAAACTATTCTGGCTATTAGGAGCAAGGCAATCGGAGGAAATGTCTGATTATGATAAGGTCCAACAAACTTAGGCTGAACTCAAAATGTAAGCATGGTGGATATTTCAGAATCGAAATTCAGAAATTACATCAACCACTCTTTGTAGTGTTACTGTAAGAGTGAATTCACTGAGTGAAATTCACTTTGTCACAGGTAAATAGAAAGCAAGTGGTCACACAGCAACTCCTTTTCGAGGCAAAGTTGAGTGATTTATAGCTTTGTCGTGGAAGGATCTCTATTCAATTGAAATGGAAAGAGGAGAAGGATAGGTAATGTGAACTCAACATTTTTGGGGTCTCAGAGACTCAAATAGCTTCAACATATGGGCATTAATAATGAAAATTTCATTTTGGGATGTATTTGATGCCTTTATTTTTCTGAGGGTTTTGTGTAGTTTTTGTTGAGTTTTTTTTCCTAAGCTCTTTTACCTTGCTTAGAGAAAACATTGCCTCTAATTGTTCCTTCAAATTCAGAAAGCTACCCAAGCTTCCATGGAAGCAACATTATTTTTTTGGAGACCTCCACAGTTTTTATCATACCAGAAGTGCCTGTCCCTGGCTCCGGCAAATCCTCCAAGTTCCATCAGCATTTACTCAGGAAAAACAACATCTTCTATACCTTTTTGTATTAATTTGGTGATAACCAAAGGATGTCTTCTGTACCATTTCAATTTATAATGAGATTTAGCAAGTCTTGTCAAAATTCTCATGTGGGATACTTGAGCCAACAATACAGGTCAGAAATTGGAAATCTAATGGAGATTCTAAACCCCCAAAAATCCTCTTATACCACAAAGCATTGTGGTTTTGGAATTGGTGTGGCTATTGAATCCTAACCTCTCCTATTCTGGTCTCTTACTTACTGTAAAATATCTTTCCCTCTTGTAGTTTCAACATTCACACCTTGTATTCAGATCTGTTTACCTGGCATTTGTCTCTGGCTGGGTTACTGAAAACGTCATATTCAGGGTTTTGCTGTACTGTAAGCAGTTTCCTCTCTGAAATGTTTTTAAAATTCTGATGGGACATCTCTGCAGTCTTAGAAAGTTGCAGCAGGTTCACTCTTGAATGTATCTGTGAATAGAAGTCAGCTACATCTGTGTGTGGAGAACATGCTGTGCATGTCCCAGATCCCATTGCCTGGCAGAAATGTTACAGAAATGTCAAAGCAGTTCTCATCAGGGACTTGCCATGAAGGCTCTCCCAGCCTTCTCTCCAGCAACTTGCAGCCGGAGATGGAGCCCAGCGTAGCAATGAGAGCAGCAGGGGAAGCTGCCTGATCTGGACCTGACAGATTTCGACACCTGAGGTACAGGTGAGCCGCTGGGGACACAATGAGAAATAACATATCGAGTGCTGAACAGATTGTTTGTTTGATATACATGGAAAGGGAAAAAAAAAAAAGGAAAAAAAAAAGAAAAACACACACAAAAAAAACCCCAAACTGTGATATTCCATAAGCATAAGTTGTACACCTGTGGATATTGTCAATATTCTAGAGATATAAATATAATGGTTTCTGATTATATGTAATGTAAGTTTGGGTTATGAATCAGTAGAAGAGTCTGATGGTCTATAATGCAAGTTTGGGCAATGAATCAAAGTAACTTGTAATTAAAAGAAAAGGGGGAATTGTGGTTAGATAAAAGGTAGGAGAATAGAGACAGTGGTGAAGGTAATCTGGCCCTTAAGGAGTTACAGCTGTGCTAATTATAAAGCATTAAGAACAAGCCTGCTTTTAATAGGCCACAGCTGGATCCAGTTAAGAGGGGTATTATAAAAGAGCAGGTTGGCTGGTCCAGAGGAGATGATGGAGTTTGTTGCCTGTGCTGAGAAGAAGGAGTCAGTGCTGTGAGGAGCTGCCCCCAAGAAACCACCGAGAAGGTATGGAACCTTTCTGATAGGATAACAACACTGCATTGCTAGAATGGTCATAGCTCAAGGATTTTTATCTTTTATGTACAATTTTTACAGTTGATGGTACCACTTAAAATGTTTTAAATTCAGTTAAATAAGATAGGACCAAGCTGAGGATTTAGTTATATTCATAAATCCTAAAATCTGATCTTACAGAGGGTGTGCCTGGAGGCACAGTTTGACCTGTGGTGTTTAAGCAGACTAGTGTTACTAGAAATAAAAATAGATGTCATAACCTTAAGCTTCAATTTTTACATTTAATGGTTTTATAATGAAACAATATGAAGAAACACACTGGTACCTTACTTCAGTACATAATATACAGTATCATATTTATGGTAGTAGGAAATGTTTAAATCAGAAATAAGCAGACCAGTGAGTAGAGAGAATAAATAAAACTGCATTTCTAGAGATGGGGGTTGCAATGCAGAATTGGGGCATTTATTTGGTCTTCTGTGGTTTAAGAACAACACTGCAATAGGATCTTATGCATGAAAATGAATGTGGGGAGAGCTTCCTTGTGTTGATGTAGTTGTTTTCAAGGTGAACATGTTCCAGGTGGGAATCCTCATGCTCCTCCTCACTGTGGTCATGCTCGTCCTCGTGGTGGCTCTGAGTCCTGCAGATGCGTTCTGGGGGCACTGTCCTGTGACACAGGGGAGGGATCATGTTCTAATCATTCCAGATAACTCTTAACTTCATCACTTATTTTAGAGTTGCTGTCTATTTAGATATTTGAAAATGTTAACTTTATCAGTACATTAAATTTTCTCAATTACATATTTACTGAGGACTTTCAAAAGCCATTTTTTGGAACATTCTCTCCTTGCATTGTTTTCTCATTTATATCATATACTGAGTTTTCCTGAGGAAAGTATTGCCATGTGTTGCTGAATGAAAACTTTGTCTGACACATGGGAATTCTCTCTTAGTCATTCCTTTTTTTTAACAAACAGCACAGAGAGCCTGGATTGAGCACGTGGCCCCACAGCTGGGGTTGATGGAACCTGCTCACCAGGTGACTCCAGCTGCTGACTCCTCCCATTATTTTATTATCACTTTGGGTTCTGCTCCAGAAGCAGAAAAGCTGATGATGAGCAACTTAACTTCAGTAACTCACTTCTATCATATTAAGAAATACTGCAGAAGAAAACTCAGGATTCAGCTCCTCCTTCAGATTTTTTTAAACAAATATTTACTTTAAAATAACGAATTCCTAAAGCAAAGCATGTCTTATTTATTTTAATGACATTAATGTAAAAAATAGCTTGGAAATTACCTTATTTTGTTATTGTTCAGTCTTAGAAAACGTAGTTTTCTCATTTCATCAATCCCAAAGGGTACAGCCTTCAATTCATTGTGGTCCAAAAAGAGCTCCCTCAGGGAGTGGTAAGCTCCAAAAAATGACACTGGGTCAATGCCATCGTCAGTGAGCTTGTTAAAGGACAGGTAGAGATACTCCAGCCCGGGCTTCATGTGGCCAAACACATAGCCTGGAATTCTCTCAATCTGATTTCCTATGAGTACCAGATGGAGTAAAGATTTTGGCAGGTAGGAGGGAACATGATACAACTTATTATAAGAGAGATCGATTGACTCCAAGTTCCTGCAATAAAGAACAAAAGAAAAAAAGGCTGAAACCCCTCTGAGCTCCTGCCCTGGCAGTGCTGTGCTCTGTGCAAGGCTCTGCTTCACAGCATTACCAGGGAATGACATTTCCAAGGGAAATTTGTTTCTGTCAGTGGGGCAGAATGCATTTTATGGAACATGGTCATGCATAATTACTCTGGGAATAGAAATAATTAAGTCACGAGTTACCAATCAAGCACAGTGATTTTGTTGATGGGAAGAGATCTCCAGTAATGAGGATGGGGGGGCTGGGGGGCAGAACAGGGGAATCCCAAGGGACTAATTTGGGATTGCTGCAATAATGAGTTACACTGAAGAACTGGAATAACCTTGGGATTTCAGTCATTATCCCATTAACAGGGAGTTCTAAGCTTTGTTCTGAAGCCCATTTGAAATGGAATTGTGTGAATGAATCAGTCCCATGTGCTTCACTTCCAGGCATGAGAGATGCTGTCAGTAGTACCAGCATGGTTGTTTTCAGCTTAAGGAATTTACAAGTTCAGGAATCAAGGGATAGGGCTGCAGCTGCCAGTGATGGCCAGGTACCCTGCTCAGCTTGGCAAATTATTTAACAGGAAAATCAAAAAGTGCCATCATCTTTTACTACTTACATTCTCATTGCTCACTCTGTGCAGCTGCATTGTCTAAGAGCAAAATATAAGCAATCTTCCCTTCATCTTATTGACTTTTATAATTTTTAATCCAATGGGAAATAAGGCTAGGATAGTATTAAATTATTTTTAAATTACCTGTAAGATAATTATGTATCAATACTAAATTACCATATAATTGTATATAGTATAATTTATAATTAATGTTCATTTTTGAATGGGTGGTCAGAAAAAAATATTGACTTTTATGTGTTAATATGGTACAGATTTGAGGTAGAAGATCTTCCTATTTGACAGCTGAGTATCTTCTAGATTATACAATTAGGCAAAGGAAATTTAGAAAAATTAGCAAAGGAAAAATCAAAGCATAATTAAAACTCTTAAATTAAAAGTAATTAAGTGCAAATATTTATTTGATTATTTGACTCACTAAAAAGAGAGAAAAAGTGAAATAAATGTATTTTAAATGTCTGGTACTTACTCTTGGTTTATCCAAGCCAAAGGTGCTATCCTGTGCTCTTCTAATTTGTTATGCTTTAGCCCAATGATGTTGATGTTTCTGGTGTGGTTAAAGCAAATTTCTGACACTTCTTCAATTTGATTATGTTCAAGATATAACTCCTGTAAGTGTATTTGGGAAGAAAATTTGTAAGATCAGAAGAGGCTGGGTTTTCCCATTGCAAATTCCAAGTGCATCAATTACCTGTCCCCTGTATTCCCTGGTCTGTTTGTTAATTCTCAGTCTGAACCAGGGTCAGTTTGTAGCTGGAGTGGGACCTTCAGAGACACAATTTTTCAAAGCAATTCTTTTGTTTTCTCATTTGTGAGAATACACATATCTTTGAAAGAGCAAACAGAAGGAATTGCGTGTCTTTGGGTGTTTGTTGGGGGGGTTGTTGTTGTTAGTATTTATTTTGGTTGGTTTGGGTTTTTTTTACCTCAATGCTTTGAAAGAGCAAACAGAAGGAACTGCATCTCTTTGGGTGTTTATGGGGGGTTGTTGTTGTTAGTATTTATTTTGGTTGGTTTGGGTTTTTTTTACCTCAAGAGTGGCAGGAAGACCTTGTGGTATAATTCTAAATTTATTTCTTCCCAGTCGCAAATAAGAAAGACTTTTCAAAGGATAAAAGGCCAAGGGACTGACATTTGCTTCACTAAGTTTATTTCCTTCTAATTCCAGAGTGACCAAGTTCTTTAAATCTAAGGAGAAAAAAAATTAATTTCAGTTAATTAATGCCATCTTATATCTTGTTAAAATACATATTCATAATTTACCAGTCTTAAACATTACCCAGAAGAAGATCACTTCATAGCAATGAAAATTTAAAATGAACTGATGTTATTATCTCATAATCATGGAATTGATCATAATTTTGTAGAGCTTTAGAGATTGACCACAGCTTTATTTATATTTTCCTCTCCCAGTCCAAATGGAAAGGGCAGCAGCTGATCCAGTTTAGATGGAACCCTTTTAGCAGGAGAAGAAGCAAAAAAGTCCATCCAATTCTGCCATGGATGGTACCCTTTCTTTTTTCTTTCTCCTTTTTTCTATCAGCCTGTGTTTAAGCTGGCTTCAAATGATCGTGGTTGACTCCAATTATATTCTCCTTTATTTTTCATGGACCTCAAATTCTGTTCCCTTCCACGCAATTTAAAAACAACTGCAATGGTTCCAGCACACATAAAGCCATCAGGTTAAAGGTGGGGATAGTAGGTGTCTTCAACATGCTTCAAATTCACCTCCACTTAGTGACCTTAAATATAAACTGCTTAGGGAGAGGAGCAGTTGCATAAGGGAAATATAATTTTAAAATACTTTCTCATGCATGTCTTTCAGGTTGTGTTGACTTTTAAAGACATGGCACTTTAAACCTAGCAGTTATTTTTCTATGTCAAACCAGGTTCAACATTCAGCTTTCAAATTTAATTTTGACTTTTCATATGATTGATATTTATTTTTTAAAATACCTTTTAAGCCGTCTTCATCAATGGCATGAAGTTGGTTGTCATTTATTTTTATTTCTTCCAAAGTTGATGGCAATTCAGAGGGAATAACTACCAGCATATTTCCATCCAAATACAAACGTTTCAGCTTTTTCAGGATCTTATCACAGGGATGAAGAGCATTTATATTATTAAGGTGCAAAATACGCAGTTAAATATTAAGATTTTCTTAAACACATGCTCTGTAAGGTTTTTCAGCAACAGTGCAGTAGTATCCAGTGTTTTGAATTAACAACTTTTTTTTTCCTGTCAGTCTAATTAATAGGTTACTTTCTGCTAAATATTAACAAAAGTGCCGGTTAATGTCACATGTAACTCAAAGAGCTTCCCCACAGCCCTGCTGCAGTTCCCCAGGGTCATTGTTTGCATACCTGCTGCTCTCTGTGAATTGTGGAAGTATTGCCTCACTACACTGGGCAGCATTTAGTACTTCAAAGTACATGCATTTAGAAATTACATGCTCATCCTCTTGATCTGTGAGCAAACCGATGATTTTCTGTAGGTCAGCAAATTTACTCAGGCAGAATGACAGCAGCTTTCAGTAACTGAGGGTTATTATGCTTAAGCCAAATTAAAAAATTGATATGAAAAGTTATGATATCTTAATTTTAATTCTTGATTGTGGTGAGAGATTTCTCAAAGTAGCTATTTAATTATACAATGCTTACTTATACAAGGTGCAGAGTGGTTTAGATCCATAAACTGAAAAGCAAAAAACATTATTTTAAGTAGCAATTACTGAGAGCATAGCAGAGGGGTTAGGCTTTCTTACTTTGAATGCTTTGGGACCTATGCCAGGAGAGGTAATGTTATTTTTACTCAGATCAATCCATTCCAAATTAGGGATCCCATTGAAAGCTTCATCTGAGATAGTAGTGATGCTATTTCCTGGGACAGAAGGCAAGAGAAAAGTTTGACTTATGAAATACAGTCTGCACCTGAGGTGTGTAATATTGCATCTAGAAAATATATCACAAAAATAGCATTATGGGCAGTAATTTTGTGTAGAAGTATTCATCTTAGTATTTAAACACTGGCATGAAAATCTGATGTTTTTCATTTCTTGTTTTAAAGGCTTAGCTGTAAAATTAGTTCTAAAACTTTTCTATATTAAGGAATGACGAAGCATTAACAGTGCTGTTGGCTGCATTTGAGGGTGGATGATGTTACAAAAGTCATGCAAAGTAGACCCATTAATTACCTGTAAGGTCTAAACTCGTTAGGTCTGGATCTGAGATGGGAGGTATTTGTGTAAGTTTGGCATTAATGCAGCTTACTGTGGTGTCCAAGGTGGAACATCCAGATGGCAAAGGAGGAGCTTCTATGGGTGGAACAGGGATTGGGAAATGAGATGGAATTCTGAAAGGACCATCATCTTCATCACTCTCATACTGCACATCTCCTGCAGCTCCCCTTCTGGGGACAGGCAGCTTCTCTCTGCGACGCCCTTTGTGCCTCTGGCGATTCTTTCTGCCTTTCCTTTTTCTTTTCTTCTGCCCTTTTTTGTGACCCTCCTTGTCTCTAACCTCTATCACTTCTGTGGGAAGCAGCTCCTCCTTTTCCATTGGAGTTCCTGCTGGTGGCAGAACACTGGTGGTGTCGAGGTCCTTGGGGTCTGGGGAGTCACCAGACAACTCACTGACATCATCCAGTGAAATTATGCTGGAGTCCAGTGAGGAGGCTAACGAGGGAAAAAACAACAAAACACAGAAGAGTCGGATGAAACTAAAATATTAGTAAGCACTGTTTCCCACATACGGTAGAAAATTATGACTATGGGTTATTCCTCTTAGGATACGATTCAAAGAATAAAAATGTGTTGTTAAATTGCTGCTTGAGAAAAGAGACACTTGACTGAGAAATTATGGAGGCAACCACACAGAACAGTTTGTACACAGCTGCAATTCCTGAGAACTCCAGGCAAAAAAGTGGAAAAATTAATATAGCTTTCATTATCTTCCTTTTTGACTGACTATTAATTATGGGGTTTGTGTTGATGGAGGTGTCTAAAGAGGAAAAATAATGTGTCTAGGAGTGGAAGCTAATTTGGAAAAAATTCACAAAGGTCAAGGCTTGTTCTCCTCCAAAAGGGATTGTCAGGGGAGGAGTTGGCTGCAGGTGGGGATCTCACCAGGGAAATGCATTAACTCCATTACCAAAATGCAGTTTCTTTACTTCCATAATAGGACAATTCTAATAAAAGGAGTTCAAATGTCTCAGTCAACATGACTTTTGCAGTTTTACAATGAATTCCTCTGTCTCATCTCAGAGTGTCACATGCATATACACATGAGGATAAATATTTCTTACAGTAGGAGGAGATTGAGTTCAGTACTTTGCAGATATAAAATATTGGGAGTGTGGGAAGGAAAGGAAGGAAATCACATCCTATGTTTATCTCCTCCATTCCTTTTCTTACTAAAGGTACCAGTTTTATTTAAATTATTGTGAAATACCAAGATTGAAGTTCTGGGGCTTCTCTTGTGAATTGACTGTCTTCACTTGATTTACATCAAATTGCTGCATGTTTCTGCACTCCTAACAAGATTTACCATTCTGTATGTCTAATACATCAATAATGGCCAGTAGCTGTTGATCCTTTGTAAATGGAAGTGGGATAGAAAATATAAATAGATGTTATTTCTTCATACATTTACAAAGTTCTGTAAAGGGAGGGGGGAAGTAAAAAAAGAAATACAATTATCTTTACTATTACATACTTAGTATCATCTTTAAATGTTGCATCAAACTCATCTAACAGAGTACTCAGAGAAACCAAGGTCAACTTGAGTAGAAACTCGGAAAAGCTGCTTTTATCATGGAATTCAGGATAATGTGTACCTTGTGACTCTCGGGATCATTAAATGCAGTGTTTATGTAAGGTTTTAAGAATCTGTGGTGTCCCATACCAGTCTCAGAACACACTGGGCAGCACTCTCCTGCAGGAATGATGGTCTGGGGACATTTCAGAGGGTGGCACATGGCTGTGTCACAGATCACCTCTCCCTGGGAGCACAGACAGGTGATGCAGGGCTGGGGAGACCACACGGCTTTGTCGAACATGATCATCCCGTTAGCTGTGCACTGCCCCTTCTTCCCTAGGAACAGAAAATGGGAAATGCGAGTTAAGCAACCTAAAGTAAACCAGCAGTGCTCATTTAAAACTTTGGAAAGGAGCACTACTATTTTGTGCTCATTTTGAAAATATGTAAAATATACCCTATTCAAAGGATCTTGTCATTATTCCTTACTTTTCATAGCTGTATTTTCTTCAGCTTATTAGTAATCTCCTGTTATGGAAGACATGAATATTTTTTCCAGACCTCCTTCTATTCCTCTCTTGTGCACTACAGATCTTTTCTAATATCTTGCACATTAAATGAAAAAATTTTATTAAGGCCCTGCAGAACTGGGAGAGTAACAGTAGTCAGTTTATAGTGATAGTTCATAGGCTTGGTGGAATTAAAGCCCATTCAGAGATGACTGATGAGACGGCAAAAATCTCCAATTCCTTGTAACTTGCTTTATCTGAAAAACAAAAACCAACCTCTTTGCTAGAAAAGCAGTAATCTCAAACAACTTGTGCTATGAGATACTCTGTGTCTCAAACTTCTGGACATGTACCTTCAAAAAATTGAGATCTCCCCAGGGTGCCAGTTGAAATTTTCATAAAGGAATGTAATTTTGTACCTTCTAGTCAGATATTCCGTGGGCAAGTGATCTGGAGAGCACAGAGACTTGGGAAGGAAACCAATCCCAGTCTTTCTTTCCTTCCAGTGGTGGAGTTCACTTCAGCAGAATCTTCCTTGGGCAGTTCTCACCCAGACCCCAGGATAAACATTGCACTTTAGCACATTACTTTTTTATTTTTGGTCTTTTGAGAGAAGGAAAACCAAGGCTGGTTTTCTTCATCCCATGCAAATATTCCTGGTTTTGTGTGCACCTCTAAATCTTGTTGAGAAGCTGAATTCCCTCACATCTTCCTTTTCCTCTTTCTAATCGACCTAAGAATGCATTGCTGAAGTGTTATTTTGAGAGGACAACCCATTTCCAAATTAACTTTGCGCTTCCCTGTGTATAAAGAAAAAGAAATTTCCTCTTTTCCTGTTCAGTTTGACTTCCTCCTTCAGATGAAAATTAATACATTGGAAAAATCTTTTCTCACCTGAATCTGCATGCCAGGAGACTTTCACTTGTGGTGCACAAATTATCTTTGAAGGGGTTCTTCACAGGATTTCTTTTCCCACACTCTGCCCTGCTCCATGCCTGGGTATTTAATTCCAATAAGAGTATTCAGGATAGCCTCTAAATAACTTTGTGAGATTTTGTTTGTAATGTCTCTGGGATTAATATTTGTCTCAAAATGTGGCATTTTGCAGAGTCTTTCAAAATAGTCCTACTTCATAACAAAGGTTCTTCCTTTGTCCTTCTACTCAAAGACCAATAGATATCAATCTGTTTCCTACAATAAAAATTGTCAGAATGATCCAGTTTGGATGATCCTCCATATTACATATATTTTTTAAAATGCTTTAATTTAAACTGCTCTTAGGACAGGAAAGGCAAGAAATTGAAGTTTTGAGTAGTTGCATTTTGTTTATTCAAAGGGCTGGGACATCACTGCCTCATTTCAGCTGCATAAAGTTGTGCTCTAAGCAACTCCAACCATGTCAACTGGAGGAGGAAAGGAATTAGCCCAGGCCAAGTGTTACTTGGCTTTAAGTCCCTTGTCATTCCACCCAGGTATCTGCAATCCAGCTGTTTGCTGGATCCTGACTTTGGGGTTTATGTGCTTGCCAGTACACCACAATACTTCTTTTAAATAACCTCCAAAAGAAACACAAAAAGAATCCTGCACTTTCTCATGTTAAACAATAAAACAATAACTGTTCCAGAAGAGCATAATCTGGCCTGAGAAGGAAATTCTTCTGTGCTTCCTAAAATTCTTTCTTTTGTTTTAGCTACCAGAGTGTATCAGAAGTCAGTGCAGATCTTGTCTGAATAAGCATAAAGATCTGAGCTATCAGGCTTGGCCTCTGCAGGCTTCTTTAACAAATGATCCTTTTTTTTTTCCTGTGTACATTAGAGTTGCATAAAAGGCAGGAGCAGTGTGTGCTCAAAGACAAAGATTTTACCCTTTGGGTGCATTGCAGAGCTGCTGTCTGGCGCTGTTGGGATTCCCAGAACCCCTGTGAGACACAAAAAGGCTGTGCTGAGACACTGCTCACATTGCCTGACCACTGAGTCACTTCAGCTTGGTGCTGTGAGCAGGGAGAAGTGGGGGGTGAGAGGGATCAGAGATGGTGCAGCAGTGAGCATCCTACTCTGCTCTACCTAATGGACAACTGCAAATTATCTCATGTTGTGGCCAGCTCTTTGGTTTAATTTAAAGGTTCACATGGTTCTAATCTAGAGGAATTAGATATGTCTGTTATTGTTAAACCTCCATTTAGCTGATAATTTTCATCCTGCATATATCTGTAAATTTGGGTGGGTTTTTTGTTTTGTTTTTTTTTTTAATCTACTAAGAGCAAAACAAGTAGCTAAGAGAATGGAAATTAATGTTTGGATTGTATTTGCTTCTCTTCTGAAGCATGATTAATAATAGTGTTCTATTATTTAATAGGCTCTGTTTTTTCCAAATCTGACATTAACTTGAAAAAATTTTGAACTTTAAAAGCTAGACTAAAAAATACCTTGTGGTTCCAGTCTTTGGCAGATGAGCATAGGACTTTTAACCTTCGGAAATATGGTGTAAATTCAGCATGGAGTTCCAAATAAAATGAGTTCAGTGGTTTTAGCTCAGCTTTTGGATGCAAGAAAGAAACAAGTGGGGCGGGGAGGGGGAAGAGCTGTGCATTATTTCAGCATGACTGATGATCCTGACAGAAACTCTGGAATATCTTACATGAAGTGTATGCTACTTACATGGTATTTTCCTCTCTTTAATTTTAAAAATATTTTTAAATTAGATGTTTGACATTAGTAATATGTATAATATTGTAATACACACTGAAAATGCCAAAGTCCAGAGTTTTGCTAGTGTTCCTGTTCAAACCCCTTACTTTCAAATATTTGGTTTGAAATGGTTCAGCCTTTCTGAAGTAAGAACTCACAACAAACAGTAATTGTGGAGAAAATGTGGATGATATATGGCCATTTGAGACCTCTTTACCCAGTGGTCTGTTGTGTGACACACTGAAAGGCTTCAATTCTTGCTTATAAAAATATATATTGTTTTTATTATATGCAGAATATGGGAATCAGGTCATTCTGTTTTGATTTTTTTTTCCCATAAAATTCATTAAACTGCATATGTGTGATCACATTAGTGTGTGATCTCTTGATGGAGGAATGGAAATATCTGTATCCATAAAATACATATTACTACAGAGGTGAAAATCTCTGGATCACCAAAAAGGCAAGTTTTATATAAATCATACTACTGAATTTCTATTAAATAAATCTGGGTTGTCAATGTAGATGGAGCATAAGAGTGGTCTTGTGTTGAATAAGTAGGATTTTTTTCTCTTTTAACTCAGTTTTCTATCATAAGGGTCTCGTTTATAGTGTAACTTCCATATTGCAGCCACTATCAAGTGTTATTAAGTTATTTACAAAATCAAGAATTACTCCCGAAGGTTTGTGTACAATTTGATTTTCAAAAATGCAACCCATAAAGTAAAAATAAAAATGAATCTATTTTCATTAACGCTGTTGTTACTGGTGTTGAGGCCTCGGTGAAATGTTAATTGACTTAGGAGATATATTGTGCAATCAATTCTTCAAAATGGCCTTCAAACTTGGAACACAAGTTTGAATCACGTTGGAAGTTATGAAAATACCCCAACAAATTTATTGTTGGTTAAGATCAAAAAATAATGCAGAAAACTTGCAGGAAATATTGCTGTTACCTGGCAAAGCAGTTTGATAAAAAGCCTCATAATGCCAACCACAAAATCACCGCAGAAGGCAGCAGGAAGGTGTGGAAGTAGAGCTCAAATACAGCCTCAATAAAATCTGTCTGAAACGAGCAGTCAGCCCCCAGGGAGCAGAGGGGCTGTGTTCTCACCTGGCAAGACGCTGTAGGCGCTCTCGTGTTGCCCCAGCCCCACCAGGGAGTCAAAGATGCCCATGACGCTGTCATCGATGGTGATGAGCGGGATCCCGGCTGCCCTGGGGCTCCTGTGCCCTGCCCAGGGGCTCCTCCCCAGCCCCCTCCTCCTCTGCCTCCTGCCAGTGCCGCCTTCAGCTGGGCACAAATCCCTGCACAGCCAGAGCAGCAGGAAAGAACACAGCAGTGATGCTGCCTGCATCGTCTATGGGTCCCACAGAGTGCCCTGGAATGGGAAAAAAGAGGGAAATCAGGCACCTGGAAAGCTTTTAGGACCATGTCAGTCACAAGCAGCACTTTTCAAGGCAGGTGAACTAAGAAATTGTAGGTCAATATAACCAAGGTTCTCCTTGGAAAGAAACTGCCCAGAGAGCTCCAGTGACAGATTTGATTGTAGTGATTCTCAACAGTCACCATCAAACAGGTGCTGGTTTGTGTTTGGGGTTGCACTTGAAGAGGTGGTTCAGATTTGCAGTGCCAAAGACATTGGCTGTTCAGTAATTGTTGCTGCTTCTTGTGAGTTCTGTAAAATGGGTCTTCCTTTTTTTATTTCTTCCAGAGTGTTGTTACTTCTGAATGTACGAATGGAAAAGTAACAGAAAAATGCCCAGTTCATTTGTGATGTGCTGCCCCGAATGCTTTCGGGTTGGCATTTCTGTGCAAGGTGTTTTTTCACTGTAAATGAAGAGATGAGATGTTCCTTTTCCATCCATCTCTGGCCATCCTCTTCTCTAACAGCATCTGCTTGGTTCTGCAGAGGAGACCTTCAGGAAGTTTGTGCTATCTGTGACATCCCACAACTGCTTTTCCAGTGGAAGTTTTTATGAAGTGTAGGCTCTACTATGGTCAGTCTAGAATGGGCTGTGTTCTGTATTTACTTACTAAAAAATTCAAAATAATTGCACCTTTTTATGCTCGTGACAGAAAATTTACATTTACTGTCACCAATAGATGGCATTCCAAAGCAGAGCAGTCAGGATTCAGGAGCACACACAAGGAAGGATATCCAGCAGTGGATTGCTGTACCACTGTGGAAATAAGAGTCTGTCCATCCAGGGTTATTAATGATCTGTCAGAGCTGTGTTGCATAATTCTTTCAAAAAGAAAATGCTGATGTCCCGTGGCCTATTTTAACTGAGACAGCAGAGACAGGAGACATTTGTGTTCTTGGGAGGGTGAAAATTAGTGAAGGACTTGGAGCTCTTGGGCTTTGTGGCCAAGACAAGGCTTAGAGCATGGCCATGGTTTTTCTCTGAGGAAGTTCTGAGGGGATTAAAAAATGCTTTTTCTTAATGTTCATCAGTCTGGCTTTGCATGTCATCTTTCACTTTGGAGTTAATCTTATTATAATTATATTGTGTAAATATTGGACTGTATTATTTCAGGAACTTGAACTGTGGTTTTGCTAGAATTAGATTTTGTTTAAAAGCTTGTTCATCTTGGTATTTTCTGATTTATAGAACAGGTCAGATTTTTGGTACAAGTTGTCTAACTGTTCTTTAATTAAACAAGGCATGTGATTGATTGCATGTTTTCCATGCTTTCCACATCATAATTCTAATATATATATTTTATTTGCATGTCTTAAAATGGGAAGTTGCCAGTAAATAAGCTTAAGAGTATGCATTTTACTTCTTTTTAATATTGTCGTTTCTGTGTTCAACTATTTTAAAATTAAAATGTTATTGCGAATTTAGATATTAATTTGTAGGACTTGAAGTTAATATTTTTATTTCTATATGAAGGGAATTTGAGATGCAAATATCTCACAGAAATCCTCACAGCATCTCCTGGAATGGCAGGTTTTGAAATGAATCCAAACTTTAGTTTGCTGCTTTTTGCCCCTCAGAAGTCACTTATTCCAAAATGCTGTATAGACTCTCTGGCTTTTTATTGACAGCAATTGCTGTTAGTTAACATCTCCGATAGATGCAGAAGCTTGCCCTCTGCACTGAAAATGCCTGATCTTGTTGAGAAAGTGCTCATTTCTGAGTGCCTCAGGAGAAATGAGCCAAAGCCTTTGGTGTCTGCCTTGCGTGGTAATGAGTGGCTGTAAAATGACACAGGAACTTCTGTTCCACAGGCTGGGCTGAAACACTCTGAGAGCCCTCGGGGAAAACTGATGTACAAAGGAAAGCCTTGGCCATGTGTGTTCCTTCTGTCAAGTTTCTGACATCTTAATTATGGTTCCATTTTTCTGGGATACTCTATAATAACACCAGAGCTGTGCAGTTACAATGCTGCTGCATTGCACTTGGGCTTTTTTAACATTTAACCATTTCTTCCTGTGACCAGAGGCACATAATGGCATGACTGAAATGACTTTTCCATTCTCCATTTCTTTTTAAAAGGCAGGAATAATACAGAGTGAATTATATTACATTAACTGTACAGATGTTAATGTACATTAAAAATGTTTTGCTAGGAACTAAAAAAGTAAAATTCTATAGAAAAGCAAATTATTATAAAGTGAAACTTGGTTTCATAAAATACTTTATAAATGCACATTTTTAAAAATCAGAAACAAAACAACAGAAAACACACCACACACCCCCAAAAAAAGTCTTTATAAATTAATCTTGTTCACATATGTGCATTTATATGCTAATTTTTTACACCAATTTAACTCTTCAGCACTGAAAGCTTAATATTGCTACTTTCAACCAAATTATGTTCTTTGCATGCAAAACACTGGGCTACTGAGTTCCTTTCCTTGGCTGAGTTAGTAAGTGCTGCCTAACATTTTAAGGCCCAAATTGTGAAAGGCCTTGGGTGCTTTGGGCCTTTCCTGCCCATGTCTGGGATCCTCAAATTATCTCTCGGGATATATTTTGTATAGGGCCAGCCAGCTTTTAATTTGGGGAAAATTCAGCCTGTTCGATTTAGGACTTTTGTAATAAAACATTGCATAGTAAAATAAAATTACAGATTGTCAGTGTAATGAAATCATTAACTGTTTGTGTTCCAGATAGTCTCAACATGGCTGCATTGCTGTACCTTTTTTCATTTTACCCATAAATATTTAGGTCAGGGACAGTATGTGAAAGCATCTTTATTACCTTTACTTTTACTTTGTAACACATTCAGTAATTTGTATGTTTATCTTCAGTACCTGTCAGTTTCCTATTATGTTAACAGAAATAGTTAATTTTTAAAGGAGAGACCCTTTAGAAATACTAGAATATCAGAATTTATTAAATAATCTATCTTCATCCATTAAGTCAAAATTGAAACACATTTCTAAGATGTGTCATTTCTCATGACACACAGGGGTTAAAGTGCTTTACCAAGATTTTTCACTCACTCTTTTTTAAATGCATTGCACAGAAAGCAGTTACATTTATCCATAGCAGCCAGACCAGTTGCACTTAACGTTAGTTTAAGTTGGATTTGCATGGCAAACATTCAGACAGAACAAAAAACAGCTCAACGGGTATTGCACACTATCTAGAAAGGCATTTCATTCTGTTCAGTATTGCTAAATATAGCCCACATTATTTCATTTCAAATATTACATATTTGCAAAGTTAACATGAAGTTTAAGCCATTCAACACCATGCTTTAAGCAGTAATTTAAAATGTAAAACATTTTACCTTGTAATCTAACCTAACAGCAGATTCTGCTTGCTGCCATTTAGTCTCCCGTTGCAAATGAAACAAAATCTCAGTGATATCTTTAAAACAAACAGAGAAACTGTAGGGATTGTTGAAACATGTGAGATGATTCCTTAGTTAAGCCTGGAATAGCTTCTTCCCCTGGGGAGCCGGGGCTGAGCTCTGTGTGCAGAGCCTCAGCTCGTGCTGGTGCTCGGGCAAATGAGCAGCAGCACAATGCCTCTGGTCCCCAGGCTGACAGGGCACAGCTGGAAATCCTTTTCCAGTACTTACACTCACACAAGGAACAAGGAAATGGAGTGTTTGCAAAAGGAACAAAAAATGTGTATTTTAGTTGGTGCTGGTTTCTCTATTTAGAAGTTTAGTTTCCAGGTAGCATGACTTTAATGTAGGTTTATATAAAATAATAAGATCTAATACACTTTGGCAGATGTAGCCTTAACATAAAAACATGTATTAAAATTAGAACTTTTTTTTTCAGTTCATGTTCCCCTAATCCCCTCCTGCATTTAAAGCCTGTCATCTATCAGCAGCAAGCCTTTTTGTGCAAGTTTTAGCATGGAAAGTTTTTCTTTTGTCCATTTAGAGCAATGATTTCACTGCAAGTTGTAGCTTATGCATGGAAAATAAAACTACCAAAGCACTTTCCCTTCATTTTTTTCTCTTTGTAAGGCTAATTGCATCCTGAAACATGATCCTGAAGCTCAGTTCTGCAGAAGCTGCAGGGAAGTTGGTGATCCAGAGAGGAGAAGGGAGGGAATTAAGGGTACATTACCACAAGTCCTGTGCGTGCCAGCAGAGCCTTTTCCTGCATCCCCAGGTTGCTCCAAGTGTCCAGGGGGTGTGGGATGGGTCTGCTGAGCTTCAAAATGACAAATTCACCTGGGGCACCAAGTTTTCTGAGTTCTGCTGACATTAAAAATCTGGAGTTTCCTTGATCTCACAGTCTGAGGAATATTTAGACAGATAGTCATGGAATGGTGTAACCATTAAGTTAACCATAATTGTTAACTGGTGTGTGGTGGAAAGATACTGGGAGAGCACATTGTCTCTTAAAATAGGCATCCAGTTCCTACTGTGCTCTGCTTTGCAAAGGCAAAAGAAGAAATATTAAACTTTGGCAATTTATCTGGAGCTGTTTGAAAGGAAAGAGGACAGCCACATAAAAAATGGAGTGAAAATCTGGATGGAAGGAACCTAAAAGTTTATCCCATTCTACTGCTCTCCCAGGCTGCTCCAAACCCCACTGTCCAGCCTGGTCTTGGACACTTCCAGGGGTCCAGGGGCAGCCACAGCATCTCTGGGCACCCTGTGCCAGGGTCTGCCCACCCTCACAGGGAAGAATTTCTTCCCAATCTCATCTAACCCTGCCCTCCTCCAGCTTAAGGCCTTTCCCCCGTGTCCTGTCACTCCAGGTCCTTGTCCCAAGCCCCTCTCCAGCTCTCTGGGAGCCCCTTTAGGCACTGGAAGGGGCTCTGAGGTGTTCCCAAAGCCTTCTCTTCTCCATGCTGAACGGCCCCAAGTCTCAACCTGTCTTCATTAGTGAGATGTAGGTTCAGACACACCTTAAGAGATCCTTCAGTCAGCTTAGGGGATTAGAACTTTCACTGTATGTCTGAGAGGACCTTGCTTGTATTCTCAACTTTTATTAAGGAAGGAGTAAAAACAGCCTGAGAGATCTGCAAAGACACACAATGCCTCTTCATGAAAATGGCACTGCACCTTCCTGCAACGAGCAGTAACACTGGGAAATTGTAGGAGCTGTTAAAGAGTGACCTGTGGCTGCCTGGTATCACGAAGGTTTAGGATTTTTAATTGGAAAAAAATATGTATGAGAATGGGCATCATCTGCTGCCTTTCAATAAGATTTAAATCTGTGTAAGATTAATAATTAGATTTGCTTTAATATTGTTATTTACATTAAAACTTTCCACACCATAAACTTGCCTGTCATAACTAAAGAAAAAATGCTGTATATTCTACTAAAAGTTCAGACTAGGATGGCAAATTTTTTCAGACATGTGTGAGTGCAAACACTGCTGTGTCCTCAGGGATCTGATATTGACTGGTTTTATGGGAATGGCTCATCCAAGAGTGCAGAGCAAGCTGCCAATCTCTGCTTCATCTGCAAGTCGTGTTACGCCTGTCCATCCCATGGCCAGCCATTGGAATGAGTTGTGCAATGGGAATGTTTTGGTCTGTTGAGATGCCTCAGTGTGGAATTGTGTCCTTTGAGGAGAGAAGAGGCAGACTAAACAGCAGTGAATAATAATTAGAATAACTTTTTATGATTTTATATCTTAGGGCAAACTGCCACTGTTGGTTTGTGTCTTGAGCAAGAGCCATAGGATGTGAGAAATGGCTGTGGAAGGCTAGAGCCTCTGGCATGGATTCTTACCTTTTCCTCTCACAACAAGAACTATTAGTCAGCGTACAATAATACTGTTGTTGTTTTCCTTTTTTATCAATTTTCCTTCTTTGTTTAGGAGGGAACAGAGGAAGGAAAAACATTCACTACTGTGCCCCTGTTCTAAACCTCAGAGGAGGTCAAATTAATGTATAAGTTAACAGAATCTGTGATGCTGAGAAGAGCTTATAGATTTTCATCTTCTGATTGAAAGGCCACATAAATACATGGAGAATGGTGAAACAGAAGGAATAGCTTCTGTTTCCCAAAAGCCTTCAGGGTGCCTGCAGTGTAATATGTGTGTCATCAAAGAAAGCCAGCAGCTGAAGGAATAGAAGGAGGATACCTTGAAAATAAAAATCATTAGGCCAACTTAAGTATAGAAAGTATGAAGAGTCCAGAGTACTCTGTATGTATGAAGATTACAGAGAAAGAAGAGTTGAAATGACTGCTTATAGTCACAGCATACAGAGACCATGAAACTCAGTTCTCTATCATACCTTTCAGAAATGGAATCTTTTATCTGCAGAATGGCCAGACCAAGTGGGATGGGAGCAGAAATAGCCTTCACTGGGGCAGTGGGTGACAGGTGGCCTGGCTGAGCAGAGCAGAGGAAATCAAGATTCACTTCAGCCAGCCCTGACCATTTCAGTGTTTCTGTGTTCTCCTCCCCACCTTTCGTGTGCCTGCACTCAGGGGCTCAGGCAGTGAGCTCCAGCCAGCTGCTGGGAGCAGGGCAGGGGGCCAGAGCAGGGCTTTGTCCTGCAGGTCTGGAAGGCAGCAAGGACAGAGGCAGCTCCTCTTGGATGCCCAGGTGTCATGATTTGCTTTACCTTCTATTCCTTTATTCCCTTTCATCCTCACAAGTTCTTTTCTCAGCCATTTTAAAATATTCAGCCAAGGTTTACAGCTTCCCTACTGACTCCATTTTGCAGACTTATACCTTTATTTAATAATTGCAATCTGGTTGTCCTATTCTCATTTTTCTTGAGCATCAATGGAAAACTGGTACTCCCCATCCTTCCTTTTTAGCTCTGCAGTATTCTGCCTTTGCATGTTACAGCCTGCTGTGGGGCACTGCAGAGCAGTGGCCACCTGATATACAGGATTTTCCTTTTCTCATCTCTGTCCTGAAGCCCTTTGTGATATCTCCCTTGTGGTGCCACAGGTGAGCAGTAGCCATATGCAGACCTCTGATAATTTTACATGCTTGCAAAATATCCATTTCCTTGGGGGGAACCCCAGACCTTGGTACCTGTTACCATGTCTCACCTGGCACCAAGAGTACATTCTGTAGATTTAAATGTTCCACAGTCATCCTTAATTTTAACGGCTTTCTCTCACATTATATCATGAGTAGATATTTTACTTATGCCTCCTGGCTTTCTGTGTTATTTACAGAAGGGCTGTGTTGAAGTTGGATCTGTTATTTAATTAAAACATTGATCAAAATATCATTTCCATGAGTCAAAAAAACACATCCACCTTCAGGAATGCGAGGTTATTTCTGCTTTGTTCAAGAATTGGAATAAAAAGAGACAACTGAAAATTACAGCAGCAGTTTTTTAACCTTCCAGTGAAATATAAGAACAGAATGACATTTTTAAATTGCTTTACTCTTAGTTGTCATGCTGAATCCATGCAGCTGCTGACTGGTTTTGATCAGAGACAAAGACCGAATTCTAAACTTTGCAGTTACTTATGTGGTTTACTTTTTTTAACATCAAACACACAAGTTTATAGTTGGAAAAAAGTAGCAATGGGGAAAAAATTTATAACTGTTAAAGTCAGCACAAAACATCAGATGGGGAATTTGGGATTGGCAGTACAGTGCATTTCTGAAACCTGTACCAGTTACTGCATTCCTTCTGTAATCAGTGGTCACAAATATCCTTATGGAAAGAAATACAGGAAAATATGAAATACTGCTGGTAAACCTTGAGATATTAAACACAGGTTTTCCTCACATATTTAAAAATATTAACAATACATTGCAAAAAGCATGGGGTACATTGTTAGGTAGGAATAAACCTAAAATTGCAATGGGAGATGTGTGTGGCTGAGATCAGTTTACATTTTAAAAAGCTTAATTTTCAACTGTAACTGCATCCTAATTCCAGTTCTTTACTGCAGTGAACAGAATATTAATATTCATTAGTACAACTTTCTGAGGACACTAATTATTGCCACAACCCGTTGTCTCTTGGCTAGGTTTCTTTTCAATCCCACAGCATCAGTTTTAATTTGTGGTATGTTTTTCTCACATTATATCTGAAATGCCAGTGACCTGACAGATGAAGTAATTTGTAAAGCCTTTCTTCAGAGCTACCTGAAATTTAAGCTTTTACAGATTGCCTCTATGTGCATTAGTGAAGAAATGTAGTGGAATCTTTATTACAGCATTACCTGGAGCTGTTCCCTGTGCTGCTCCAAAGCAAGGTGCCCACCTACCTTGAATAAATATAGCTTTAAACTCCTGGCCATTGTAAGGAAACATGGAAGATTTTCCCTGTCCTCCTGCCTTTCTGCCAAATAATATCACTTCTTTTTGGGGGCTCAAATGGTGACACTTCCCTGTGTTCTATTTCAGCTATTTGCTGACTCATGTTTTTCCAAAATACTCAACTCAGCACATCTGTGTGTCTGAAAGAGCTCAGCCTGGGGCTTGGTTCCCTCCTGTGCCAGTGTTGAGCATTGTTACTCATCAATAGAACTTGGAGGTTTCCAACTTTTTTCTGAAATAATTGTGTTTTGCAGCAGTTGTTCAGTTTCCAGCATGAGCCATAA